TCCTTAAAGGCAAGCGTAAAACTTATGTACTTGCCAGTCATGCTTACAGCATTTTATCTACAAGCACATATAGCACTTTGTCTGGGTTTTTGGGTTTTACCCTAGCTAATTTAACTAGTATAATTCTTTTATGTTACCTGTGGCAAGATAGAGATGCAGGACAGGAAACAGAGAGTAGACAATATAGACAGAAAAAAGATATAGAACAGAAGACGGAGATGAGACACCCAAAAGTCAATCACCACCAACCCACTGCTGGCCAGGTACCAAAATTTCAATTATACAATGTAAAAAGCTGGGAAAACCCCAAAAAAATTCCGACAAATCTATCTGTGCTCATAGAAAAAAGCAAAGTAAGCAGACTGGCAAGAATAAAATTTTAATTTCCGGAATCAGATGTAAGCTTTTGGTGAAATACCTGTTATCACAGTGGCTCTCTCTGGACGAAGACAGAAAGACAATGGGCCCAAGACAAAGAGCAAAGGAAGTCGACAGAGACCACCATCCCCAGCCTGCCGAACAGTACGCCATTCCAAATTGTTTTTTCTTTCTTGGGGCATAGATTATAAGCTTTGGAAGGAACACTACCATGGTAAAAAAATTTTGAAAGGGTTTTTCTAAATTTTTGCACATGGTTTTTTATCGGGTTTTTTATTTCCCGAACACTTGGGGCCAATCCACCTCAAAGCCACGAACTCGGGGCACCACATTTTCCCCTTTTTAAAATGGGAATGTTAATACTACATGACATTAGGAATCCCAGGTGTTTGCTGCAGTGTTTGCCACTGGGGCTCAAATTTTAACTGGGGCTTTTCCCAAGGTACAAGTGGTCCAGATTTTTTTTTAAAACTCCCCACACTGGTGTTAAGACCCATTCATGCGACCAGGGTTCAGGCCAATCGTGCCAAATTTTGGAGGAGAAAAATAAATCTAGACCTACATTTTGGGGTGCTAGTGGGAAAAACTAGATCTATGTTTGGGCGTCAAAAGGGGAAAGTCAGTGCCAGATCACCCGGGTTGTGGTTTATTTATTGTGTGCGGGGCCCGCAGTAAAACCTGGTTTAAACAGCCTGATCCCCGGGAGGGGCCCGGTTGGGGGGGGCCTCTGCAGGGGCGTTGTCCCGGAATAACCCTTTCAGGTAACCCGGGGACCACTGGGCAAATGTAACATATAAAGATGTTTCATATTGTTTTCACCACAATTTTATTATCAATACCCAAAACCATAAAAACAAACCAATACCGATACTTTGACCCCCTTACTAATTTCTACACTCTTTATTCTCTTCAAAATATTTATACCACACACTGATCTAAATATTCATCACCCCCCTCACTGCAAGATTTAAAGACAATTTTTCACCCCATACATAAAATTTTTTTTACTGCAATCTCGGGTACTTTTTCCCATTTTTTTAAAAATGAAAATAAAAATGTATATTTTGCTGCTAGATAAACTTCTTTGCCCCTACTGGTTAAATTTCACACAAAAAAATTAAAACAATGCATGCTAAGCTTTTTTAAAAATAAATTTTTTGAAACCCTTTTGGGTTTTCTTTAATACCCTCTCCAACCCCTTAACTGTCCAAACAAAAATCTATTCTCTTGCCCAGCGCTCCGACATTTTGATTTTTTTTTTTTTTAAATTTAAGAGGGGAATTTTTTTGTGTGTAATAAAACCAAAAAAATTGGGGCAGTACTCACAGAATAAAAACCGCAAAGTTGGTGCTGGGTCTCACCTGACAGCAACAGGAGTCCTGCCCTTTTCAGAAATGTTTCCAATGACCTTTCTTCTCATTTTCTTTTTTAATTTACAGTGAACTCTATTTTTTTAAGGGTCAAAAGTCTAATTTTTTGGAAAATTGTAACTTTTTTTTTCAAAACACCGATCGCAAATTGCGTTTTGACTCGCAAATAGTTTTTTTCCCAGACACTACTCAGGGGCCCCCAGCTGCCTAAAACCCCCCTTCCCAGTCAGGTGGCATTGTTTAAAAGTGATGACCGTCCCCTCAGTGCACATACGAAACATTTCAAATATTCCTTCATTTTGTGCTTTCAACTGCAAAAAGCTACCAGGCTCAAAGAAAGCTCCTAGTGCCAGGCCTATGGAAAGAAGGTGAGAAATATACTGAAATTTAGAAAAACATCACTGAACAATATGAAAGTGGCTACGTGTGGCCGAACTGGCCAGGGGTATAAGCAACCCCATAAACCACCCCCGGGGATACAAAATTTACTGTTATGCAGACTACGCATTATTTAAAAATGGTAAAAATAAATCATGCACTATGAAAGAATATAGACCCCCAGTTGACGGTTTTGGACGGTGGTGTGATTTGTTTACCCCTAACATTGGGAAAAAAACAACATTTCCGCTACTTTGAGCTCATTTCAAGGGCGTTTTTATGGGCAAAATAAAGAAAATCACTCTTTTTCTTTAATTTTTTCCATTTTTTCACCTAAGACCATGAAAAAAGCAAATACATCGTAAATACATACGAAAATGCACCTCAAATCGGGGTTTTAATCCAAAAAAACGTCAGTTCTTTTTTTTCTCATTACGCACTGTGTTCGAGGATTTTTTTATGTGGTGCACACTGACCACACAGACCCATTTTCTCACAGTGGGCCTACCCCTTTTTCCGCTTGATTTTAAGCCCAGAATTATTGAGTAACAGTGGACCCCCCCCATACCGATTTTTCCGTGCAAAGGGGTAATTGTTTGCAAATAATCGGTATGTGAATGAATTTTCCCCATAAAAATAATGGAAATAAAAATTTAAACCGGCAAGACACCCAAAAATAGAAAAAAAAAAATTTTTTTTCCACATGAAAACTTAATTTTAGTACACAAAAATGAAAAAAAGGGGTGCACAATTTCATGACACTTTCTTTTTTTGAAGATTGGGGAGATTATGGGGTGGAGGAGGGGGGAAAAAGTGTTTTGGTTTAGAAGGGGAATCCCCTTTCCCTTAAAAATTTAGGTTCGAGTCCTTTTCGGGGTTCATCCCTTCTTCTTTTAAAAGCCACTAGGCCGTTCGAGTAAAAAGGATTTTTTTGCACAACATATCGTCCATAGTGGCCGTACCTCCGTTCTTTTGACTTCCCTAAATGTTTCACACATTTCAGTGAATAAATCACCACACGGGTTAATACTGTGGAGGGGATTTCACAAAAAAGGGGTTTTCACTTAACCACTTTGCACACATTTTTCCTAATTTTTGTAGTAGCAACTTCTTTTAATTTTCTCTCCCCCCCCTCCTCTAACCATTTTTTCAGGCGGCCTCTTGCTCTTGAAGTTATCTTCAGCTCATCAGTGGTTATTCTTCAATTTTCCTCCTCCACCCAACTCTCCACTCCCCCCCACTAACCTCCAACCCCCAAGGGCTTTCCAATGCCACAATGGATTCCCAACTGCATAATCCCCCAGGGTTTGCCCCAAACCCTTCAAAACCCCTTTTTTCTACACATTCTGGCCACAGTTTCTTCCCAAACAAGTTCAAGGTCTTTTGTCACTCCCCTTCCCCAAACCTTACCTTAAGGTTTTCACAATTGAGGAAATTAAAGTGCTCTCTCAGGCCTGTTTATCCAAATTAAACACTTGTTCGGGGTTCAGTCCTTCAGTCTCATGTACTCCTTAATTTCAGCACAATTTTTTCAGCCGTTTGGGGGTCCAACGGGAAGCCTCACCATGCCTTATCACATTGGGGTAAGCCTTTTTCCTTCTTAAATCTCTCAAAAAAACCTTTGCTGGTTTTAAATTCACTCACATACACTAGTTCAGGCATTTTTTAATTAAATCCTGAGCAATTTCCTCCCGTTTATGATCGTTTTAGAGATGCTATCCCCTGCTGCTGTTTTTCATTTATCCACCCAATAAGACTCTCAACATTTTCCATCATTTCGATCTTTTTTTGAAAACACATTAAACCTTTTGGCAAGAACACTTCCTTTTTTCCCTTTCGGGTCCCCAAAATAGTACGATGGTTGATTGGGGTTTTTTGTACAACTGCCGGGTCGCGATACCATTTTCCACTTTCATACTTATAAATGATCTCTTTCTTCATTTCTATTGGAATTCTCACCCTTATTGGGTGTAGGTTGCACTTTTTTCCCAAAACAGCACCGAAAACACTGTAATAATCGAAATTTCCATTTAGCTTGAATGTTACCGCGGCGGCTGGCTGGGAAACAATGGGATGGGGGGCACATGTGACTGGGTGAGGGGGCACATTGGACGCTCTCGGACGAAATCGGGGAGCGGGTTTTTAAGGGTATGCAGGGAAAATTTTTGCGATTAAAGCAAAGGGGATGCGTTAATCGCTATGTGGGCCATCGGTATTGGGGGGCCACTGTAAATTTCTCGAAAAACTGGCTCTAAGACGTATATATACGACCAAAATCAAAGGGTTAAAAACCCCCAAAAAGTGTTCATTTTTAAAGAACCAGGCCTCTTTTTTTTTGGGAAAAAACCAAAGAACCTTTCATT